CTATTTAATTCAATCCATATATTTATCGCATCATATTGAAGAAAAAATTTTTTGAAGTGATATTGGATAAATTTTGGTGGATATCCATTGACTAATAATTTCATTTCTATACTTAATCGTTCCATATCAAAATCTTCTACCGTTGAACAGATACGTGCTGCTCGGACTAATGCAGTATTAATAATATTGGCATGAATATGTCTTGGATGATCAGATTCATAAGGTAGAACATAGGGTTCTGAAGTTGATTTATGATAAATTGATGTTTTTAAATTTCCATTATTATTTTCAATAGTTGCATCAAGATATTCTAATGTTTGACTTATTGTAATAGTAATTTTAATATTTGGATCTGTTTTCATTGTTTCATTAAGTTGTTGTAAAATTTCTTCTTTTGATAAATTTGTGGTCATAAATACATCGTCAATATATCTATAAGTAGAAAGTGGTTATTAGTGTAACAAAAACAAAATATATAAGGAATAATTTGAAACTTACCTTCCATAAATTTCATGATGTCGATGTTGATGTTGAATTAATTTTTGTTCCCATTCTAACATATAAATATTGGCTAAAACCATAGTAAATGGTGAACCCATAGCACCACCTTTAATTTGTCGATAATATTTATCTTTATACGCAAATGAATTTGTATCTAAAACAACAGATGCTAATTTAATGATAGTATCTATTTTGAGATTTCCAATTTTTCCATTAATTGAATATTTTTGACAAAATCGTCTTAAAGCAGCAATAGCACCATCACGTGGTATCATCGTATATAAATCAGTCACGTCAAATATAACAAATAATGTTGTTGAAGTGAGATAACCTTTCTCTTCATATTCTTTTATTCTTCGAATAAGATCTGTACTATTGATAAATGTAATAGTTTTTGTTACGTAATTATAAATTGGAGTGAGAAGTTTATCAAGAAAACTAGATATTAGTCTAGCTGGTGCATTGATGGAAGCAATAATAGGTCGAACTGGTATTTCAGGCTGTAAAAAAGAACAGTGGATAAAATTATTATCTCAAAAAACAAATAACAAACGTTTTACCTTATGTACTTTAAGATTGAAGTAAATATGAGCTAATTCTAATGTTTGTAAATTTGGATACATTTGTTTGTATTGTTCATCGATAATTTCCTTCCTTTCGCGTAAATGATCAAGTAATAATGTTACCAAATGTAAATCATCAGCTAACGGGCAAATACCACTCGTAATTTCTTGATACGCATTAGTTTTATTCATATAATTTTTAACTTTTTCTTCATATTCTTGTGTATCAATAAAGAAAAATAATTTACTTTTATCAGTTTGTCCAACAGTAATATTTGCTTTACGTAATTTTCGTTGCATTGATGTAATCATTTTATAAATATATCGAGCATTGGCTTTGAGTTTTTTAGGTAATGGTTTGGTATATAGTTGTTCAAGTAAATGTTTAACTTCAGAAAAATATTCAGTTGCACGTGTATCATCTGTTTTAAACGTATACTTAGTAAGATTTTTACAATTTTCAGTATGAAGTCGCTTGTATTCTTCATCAATAATTTTTTTAATAGGTTCTTTGTGAAAGAATCGACTTTGGCAAGGTGGAATAAATTTTAAACCTTTATTAATAATAATCAATTGTTCATTGGATAATGGTATAAGAGTATTGGCAAAATATAAACGAAGAAATATATTTGGATGATTTCGAACATTTAATTTTGACTGGCTCCGACGCCATCGTTGTTCATTGTATCGTTTTGTGACGCCGGAGCTTCGTCGAAAAAAGACTTCAATTTTTGTTGTGTAATATAATCAGCTCGTTCAATCATATGTTTTTCACGTGCTTCAATAGCTTCCATTAATTGTTTAAACATATCAGAATTTGTATTATTTTTCTTTAATTTCTCTGTAATAGTTATTAATTTTTGTTTTTCTTTTTTTGCAATTTTACTCCAATGTCGTACTTTGTCTTCACCAGCGGCTATACTTAATTCAAGTAAATCATATTTAAATCGACCAATTTTTTTTAAACGACGTGCATTTAATATTGTTTGTTGTTTGTTATCATTATCATCAGTAGAAGATTGTTTTGATCCGTTAAGCATTTTGTTAATGTTGTCAAGAGTATAATCAAGAAGATTGAATGCTGGTGGTAAACAATTCGAATGGATACGATGTTTTAATATTTGAATTTGTTCTTCCATTTGTTTTTTATTTTGAATTGCTTTCCATATATTACGAATTGAACGAATTTGTTGTTTATTTGGTTTTACATCATAAGCCTGTTGTACTAAACGATGATCAGTTGAGTCTAACATTAACATTTTTTTATTGTGTTCAAATTGTTGTTTTAATTTATGTTGACCTTTTCGAACAAGTGCTGTAACCATTGCTGATAATGTTGGAAAGTCTAATGGAGGATCCATTTCAGATAGACATTGAGGTAATGGTTGATTACAAAAATCTTGTAATGCTTGTGATGCTTGTTGAAGTTGTCGTGCAATAGTTTTTAAACGTTGTATAATTAATGTTTTTGATCGACCATAAGTATAATTCATACTATTCATAGCAGCCCATTTTTTTGATACACGTCCTGACCAAATATTTTCTTGTATACCAATATCATAATAATGTTTCCATTGACTTTCTTGTAATTGTACATAGAATAAACGATGAATTAAACGAGCATATTGACGAATATAATTAATTTTATCTTTTGAATTTAATCTTTTAACAATTTTCTTAGCACCTTCTAATGAACTAATTAACATTTTTTTAAATATACGATTTGATACTTTTAAATAATCAGGTATATAAGAAGAATCATTTTTATGTTTAGTTTCTTTTTTAGATTTTGAATGTTTCGTTTCTGATGTTCCATTTGTTATTACTTGTTCAATTTCATTATTTTCCATCTTTTGTTTTTTTGATATTGATTGAGAAATAGATAATTGACTTAAAGATTTATCAATTATATTCGCTGATGTTTCATTTCTTTTACGTTTTATTGATTTTTTTACTGTACTATTATCATATTTATCTTTATGTTGTGTCGATTGTGGAATCTAAATGAATAGATAAATATTAATCTAGTATTTTTAATAAGAAAAATAAACATTACTTGATCATTTTCTATTGCTTCATCCTGTTGTTGTTGTTGAGGCTTCATTTTTTGATTAACTAATTCTGTAATTGTATCTGGATCTATACCTTGTTGACGAAGTCGTCGGCGTAGACGTTGTGCTTTTCGATTACCACGGTACCTTTTTTTCTTTTTCTCTTGATCATGTTCTTCTCGTAGTTGTTGTTCTTGTTGGCCAGTCAAGACTTGTGTTGGTGAAAGTGTTTCATACCAACGCCCTTGTGCATCTTGACTTGGAGTTTTTAAAATTGATGTCGTTGTTTTATGTGTTTCAGTAGTATTCATTTTTTATAAAGAACTGAATACCTAAAATGAAAAAAGAAAACATTTAGTCTTCAAAAAATGATGATTTTGAATGGTACAGAGAAAAAGCTGAGCAGAAATCCTAACTAAAATATCGACAGACCTTATGAAGATGGTGGAATGTGGATGCAGTTGTTCTCGTCAGTCGAAGTTGCGAGAGAAGAATCGATGTTACTGCTATTGGGTTGATCGATGAAATGAAATTATTACAAGCAGAGCAAGCCTTTATATACTGTTCGAGGAGAGAGAGAGAGATAGAGAGAGATAGAGAGAGAGACGAGAACAACTACTGAAAAAGAAAAAGACAACAAATTAAACGGACAATAACAGGCGACAACAAACTATAACGGAAGACAGCAAGGAATAAGAAGCAAAAAAGACAACAAGTTAAACGGACAACAACAGACGACAACAAACGAAAACGGACGACAACTAAGAACGAAAAAGAAAAAGACAACAAACGAAAATGGATGACAACAAACTATATCAGTATATGAATATTAATTAGAAATAATCGCCGTTCCACGACAACG